GTGTGAGTGAGTGCGTGTGTGAGTGAGTGTATGTTAGCACCTCTACAACTGATTCAGTGAGGGAGTGCGTGAGTGAGTGAGTGAGTGTATGAGTGAGTGTGTGAGTGAGTTTATGAGTGAGTGAGTGTGTGAGTGAGTGTATGAGTGAGTGAGTGAGTGTATGAGTGAGTGAGTGTATGAGTGAGTGTATGAGTGTATGTGTGAGTGAGTGAGTGTATGAGTGAGTGAGTGTATAAGTGAGTGAGTGAGTGTATGAGTGAGTGTATGAGTGAGTGAGTGTATGAGTGAGTGAGTGTATGAGTGAGTGTGTGAGTGAGTGTGTGAGTGAGTGTATGAGTGAGTGTATGAGTGAGTGTGTGAGTGAGTGAGTGTGTGTGTGAGTGAGTGTGTGAGTGAGTGAGTGTACGAGTGAGTGAGTGTGTGAGTGAGTGTATGAGTGAGTGAGTGTGTGAGTGAGTGTATGAGTGAGTGTGTGAGTGAGTGTATGAGTGTATGAGTGAGTGTATGAGTGAGTGAGTGTATGAGTGAGTGTATGAGTGTGTGAGTGAGTGTATGAGTGAGTGTATGAGTGAGTGTATGAGTGAGTGTATGAGTGAGTGAGTGAGTGTATGAGTGAGTGAGTGTATGAGTGAGTGTATGAGTGAGTGTATGAGTGAGTGTATGAGTGAGTGTATGAGTGAGTGAGTGAGTGTGTGAGTGAGTGTATGAGTGAGTGAGTGTATGAGTGAGTGTATGAGTGAGTGAGTGTGTGAGTGAGTGTACGAGTGAGTGAGTCAGTGAGAGTGACACCTTAGGGCGAGTGTCCACCACGTACAGGTGACCGCTATCAGGGTTGGCACGACGCACGGCGTTTAGAAGTTGTTCGTTGTGTGCAGAGCAAACCCTGACAGGGGCTGGCTATGTGTGAGTGAGTGTGTGAGTGAGTGAGTGTGTGAGTGAGTGTGTGAGTGAGTGTATGAGTGTGTGAGTGTATGAGTGAGTGAGTGTATGAGTGTGTGAGTGTATGAGTGAGTGTATGAGTGAATGAGTGAGTGTATGAGTGAGTGAGTGTATGAGTGAGTGAGTGTATGAGTGAGTGAGTGTACGAGTGAGTGTATGAGTGAATGAGTGTATGAGTGAGTGTATGAGTGTATGAGTGAGTGTATGAGTGTATGAGTGAGTGTATGAGTGTATGAGTGAGTGTATGAGTGTATGAGTGAGTGTATGAGTGTATGAGTGAGTGTATGAGTGAGTGAGTGTACGAGTGAGTGTATGAGTGAATGAGTGTATGAGTGAGTGTATGAGTGAGTGTATGAGTGAGTGAGTGTATGAGTGTGTGTATGAGTGAGTGTATGAGTGAGTGAGTGTATGAGTGAGTGTATGAGTGAGTGTATGAGTGAGTGTATGAGTGTATGAGTGAGTGAGTGAGTGTGTGAGTGTATGAGTGAATGTATGAGTGAGTGTATGAGTGAGTGAGTGTATGAGTGAGTGAGTGTATGAGTGAGTGTATGAGTGTGTGTGTGAGTGTACGAGTGAGTGAGTGTATGTGTGAGTGTACGAGTGAGTGAGTGTATGAGTGAGTGTATGAGTGAGTGTATGAGTGAGTGTATGAGTGAGTGAGTGTATGAGTGAGTGTATGAGTGTATGAGTGAGTGTATGAGTGAGTGTATGAGTGTGTGAGTGTATGAGTGAGTGTATGAGTGTATGAGTGAGTGTATGAGTGAGTGTACGAGTGAGTGTATGAGTGAGTGAGTGAGAAGTGACACCTTAGGGCGAGTGTCCACCACGTACAGGTGCCCGCTATCAGGGTTGGCACGACGTACAGCGTTTAGAAGTTGTTCATTGTGTGCAGAGCAAACCCTGACAGGGGCTGGCTATGTGTGAGTGAGTGTATGAGTGAGTGAGTGAGTGTACGAGTGAGTGTATGAGTGAGTGTATGAGTGAGTGTACGAGTGAGTGTATGAGTGAGTGAGTGTATGAGTGTATGAGTGAGTGAGTGAATGTATGAGTGAGTGTATGAGTGTACGAGTGAGTGAGTGAGTGTATGAGTGAGTGAGTGTATGAGTGAGTGTACGAGTGAGTGAGTGAGAGTGACACCTTAGGGCGAGTGTCCACCACGTACAGGTGCCCGCTATCAGGGTTGGCACGACGTACGGCGTTTAGAAGTTGTTCATTGTGTGCAGAGCAAACCCTGACAGGGGCTGGCTATGTGTGAGTGAGTGTATGAGTGAGTGTATGAGTGAGTGTATGAGTGAGTGTATGAGTGTGTGAGTGAGTGTATGAGTGAGTGAGTGTGTGAGTGAGTGTGTGAGTGTGTGAGTGAGTGTATGAGTGAGTGAGTGAGTGTATGAGTGTATGAGTGAGTGAGTGAGTGTGTGAGTGAGTGTGTGAGTGTATGAGTGTGTGAGTGTATGAGTGAGTGTATGAGTGAATGTATGAGTGAGTGAGTGTATGAGTGAGTGTATGAGTGAGTGTATGAGTGAGTGTGTGAGTGAGTGAGTGAGTGTATGAGTGAGTGTACGAGTGAGTGAGTGAGTGTATGAGTGAGTGTATGAGTGAGTGTATGAGTGTGTGAGTGAGTGTATGAGTGAGTGAGTGAGTGTATGAGTGAGTGAGTGTATGAGTGAGTGAGTGTATGAGTGAATGTATGAGTGAGTGTATGAGTGAGTGAGTGTATGAGTGAGTGTATGAGTGAGTGAGTGAGAGTGACACCTTAGGGCGAGTGTCCACCACGTACAGGTGACCGCTATCAGGGTTGGCACGACGTACGGCGTTTAGAAGTTGTTCATTGTGTGCAGAGCAAACCCTGACAGGGGCTGGCTATGTATGAGTGAGTGTGTGAGTGAGTGAGTGTGTGAGTGAGTGTGTGAGTGTGTGAGTGTGTGAGTGAGTGTATGAGTGAGTGAGTGAGTGTATGAGTGAGTGTATGAGTGAGTGAGTGTACGAGTCTATGAGTGTATGAGTGAGTGAGTGAGTGTATGAGTGAGTGTATGAGTGAGTGAGTGAGTGTACGAGTCTATGAGTGTATGAGTGAGTGTGTGAGTGTATGAGTGAGTGAGTGTATGAGTGTGTGAGTGTGTGAGTGAGTGTATGAGTGTACGAGTGAGTGAGTGAGTGAGAGTGACACCTTAGGGCGAGTGTCCACCACGTACAGGTGCCCGCTATCAGGGTTGGCACGACGCACGGCGTTTAGAAGTTGTTCATTGTGTGCAGAGCAAACCCTGACAGGGGCTGGCTATGTGTGAGTGTACGAGTGAGTGAGTGAGTGAGAGTGACACCTTAGGGCGAGTGTCCACCACGTACAGGTGCCCGCTATCAGGGTTGGCACGACGTACGGCGTTTAGAAGTTGTTCGTTGTGTGCAGAGCAAACCCTGACAGGGGCTGGCTATGTGTGAGTGAGTGTATGAGTGAGTGTGTGAGTGAGTGAGTGAGTGTATGAGTGAGTGTGTGAGTGAGTGTATGAGTGAGTGTATGAGTGAGTGAGTGAGTGTATGAGTGAGTGTATGAGTGTATGAGTGTGTGAGTGAGTGAGTGAATGTGTGAGTGAGTGTATGAGTGAGTGAGTGTACGAGTGAGTGAGTGTACGAGTGAGTGAGTGAGAGTGACACCTTAGGGCGAGTGTCCACCACGTACAGGTGCCCGCTATCAGGGTTGGCACGACGTACAGCGTTTAGAAGTTGTTCGTTGTGTGCAGAGCAAACCCTGACAGGGGCTGGCTATGAGTGTATGAGTGAGTGTATGAGTGAGTGTATGTGTGAGTGAGTGTGTGTGTGAGTGTATGAGTGAGTGTATGAGTGAGTGAGTGAGTGTATGAGTGAGTGAGTGTATGAGTGAGTGAGTGTATGAGTGAGTGTATGAGTGAGTGTATGAGTGAGTGAGTGTATGAGTGTATGAGTGAGTGTATGAGTGAGTGAGTGAGTGTACGAGTGAGTGAGTGAGAGTGACACCTTAGGGCGAGTGTCCACCACGTACAGGTGCCCGCTATCAGGGTTGGCACGACGTACGGCGTTTAGAAGTTGTTCATTGTGTGCAGAGCAAACCCTGACAGGGGCTGGCTATGAGTGTATGAGTGAGTGTATGAGTGAGTGTATGTGTGAGTGAGTGTGTGTGTGAGTGTATGAGTGAGTGTATGAGTGAGTGAGTGAGTGTATGAGTGAGTGAGTGTATGAGTGAGTGAGTGTATGAGTGAGTGTATGAGTGAGTGTATGAGTGAGTGAGTGTATGAGTGTATGAGTGAGTGTATGAGTGAGTGAGTGAGTGTATGAGTGAGTGAGTGAGAGTGACACCTTAGGGCGAGTGTCCACCACGTACAGGTGCCCGCTATCAGGGTTGGCACGACGCACGGCGTTTAGAAGTTGTTCATTGTGTGCAGAGCAAACCCTGACAGGGGCTGGCTATGTGTGAGTGAGTGTATGAGTGAGTGTATGAGTGAGTGAGTGAGTGTATGAGTGAGTGAGTGAGTGTATGAGTGAGTGAGTGAGTGTACGAGTGAGTGAGTGAGAGTGACACCTTAGGGCGAGTGTCCACCACGTACAGGTGCCCGCTATCAGGGTTGGCACGACGCACGGCGTTTAGAAGTTGTTCGTTGTGTGCAGAGCAAACCCTGACAGGGGCTGGCTATGTGTGAGTGAGTGTATGAGTGAGTGTATGAGTGAGTGAGTGAATGTATGAGTGAGTGTATGAGTGTACGAGTGAGTGAGTGAGTGTATGAGTGAGTGAGTGTATGAGTGTGTGTATGAGTGAGTGAGTGAGTGTATGAGTGAGTGTATGAGTGAGTGTATGAGTGAGTGAGTGAGTGTATGAGTGAGTGAGTGTATGAGTGAGTGTATGAGTGAGTGAGTGTATGAGTGAGTGAGTGTATGAGTGAGTGAGTGTATGAGTGAGTGAGTGAGTGTATGAGTGAGTGTGTGAGTGTATGAGTGTATGAGTGTGTGAGTGAGTGTATGAGTGAGTGAGTGTATGAGTGTGTGAGTGAGTGTATGAGTGAGTGTACGAGTGAGTGAGTGAGTGAGAGTGACACCTTGGGGCGAGTGTCCACCACGTACAGGTGCCCGCTATCAGGGTTGGCACGACGCACGGCGTTTAGAAGTTGTTCGTCCTCCGGGCAGCGAGCACTGAACCCAGACAGCGGCTGGCTGCAGCGACACAGCGCAGCCTGCTCCAGCCGGGGGTCAACGGGGGGTCAACGGGGGGTCAACGGGGGGTCAACGGGAGGGAGGGTGAACAGGGGGGTTGTGGTGCTCGTTTTGATTTGGTGGTGGTT